CCCCCCCCCCCCCCCCCCCCCACCTACCTTTAACTATATTTTCTAACTACTTCGACAAAGGAAGGAATGAGGCCCGGCGTAAGCCGGGCGATCCGACTGGTGTAAGTAGTATTGTACAAGATGGAAGCATTCTATTCTTGCGGATATTAACTCATTCGCCACTCCCAAAAAAATAAGAACAGAAACAAAAGTGAAGTAGGTCTAATAATTTAACTTTCTTGTTTTTCTTTGTTAGTTTTTATGGAGAGAGATTCTGATATACTCACATCCTCTGTTCCCAAACCAAGAGACGAAAGTTTCTGAAGAATCTCTCCACCATTCCATGGATCACCGCAATCTATGAGAATATTCTTGTTCACAGATCGCACCAGTGTCACCTAAAATTAAAGACAGAAAAGTCTTTCTACAGCTTGTTGCTGGTTCGAAAAACTAATACCCACAGTTAATAAGAGAATGCATTGATTAGTTCATAACAATAAAATAAGTAATGTTGCGCATTTTAAAAACCAACATTTACGCTAACTACAGACTACCCGCCCGAATTGTTCAAGGCACGCGCAATGGGACACTCGGATCCTACCATTGAGAATAATGAGTAGCAAGGATTTCATGCGGGAATCTGACTTTAAGAGTTTAGAGTATTTCTATGTCCCATGAAAGCGACATTTGCCCTGCTGAAAATAGTTCTAAGTGGAAAGATCTCAAGTAGATAAACCATTTAAAATGGGCGGCACTAGCTCATTCTATGCTATTGTTTGTTTCCTTTCTGCCACATCCGGGCGCACTCTTGAGTGTAATAAATAAATAAATAAATATCCACGTGAACACGTGTTTCTTGATGGCGAGAGATTCAGTTACGTTCTGTTACTTCCCGACGAAGCCAAATAAATGTGTTAGTTATTTCTACCAATCCACCGTTACCTCATGCCTAATTTAATTCGTTTTGCGTAGCACCAGCAAGCAGTGGGAATTTGTGGGTGGGTAACGCTTTCCGGTAGGAGCAGCTTTCCTGTCTACGGTCATGATGTCCATAAGAAAGGCTTCTATCGCCACCTAAAGTCGAAACAAGATTATTGTGGGGAACAGTGCCTGCGAACTGATGTAAATCACTGCTAAAGGCTAAGTTCAATACATTCATGCAAGTAAAACAATGATCATGTATGATACACACGTACAAGGCTCATGAAGACATCCTTATGGGAGCAGAGCCATAGGTTCAATAAAAATGCCTTGAAGTTTGCATGAGAACGTGGTCGTGAAACTCATGAGGTCCCCATTGCGAAAGGAATTTCACAAGTGTGGTCTTCAGATAAAATTTCGTTCTATTGACTCGCAGCTAAGAAAAATGTAAATGAAGAATGAAAAAGAAACTCCAGAATGCAAAACTAGTTGATGATCGGCAGCGGAGAAAGTCATGACAAGAATCACGGTGTTCGAGAATCGAGAGTGGTAATACGAAATTGTGCTCATAAAATTACGCCTGTAAATAAGACCGCAGTCAAGCTTCGCAATCGAATAAAAAGCGAGCGTAAAAGTACGATAGTTGCTACTAATACGCAATTACAGATAAGTGTCATTGTGGGGTTACCGGGATTGTTTGAATTGATATTCGGGTATAGAGAAGTGGGAAATGAGGGGCAAGTGTGATGTGTGGTTCGCTGCGGATAGTAATGGCTATCCAGTTTATGCCCTGAAAGATTAGGCCTCGTTTAGTTGCACTGTCTACAAAACATCTGTGGAATCCTAAACCATTGCTAAAGTAACTGTGTGGCCTTGCAGGGAATCCAGGTTTTTTCGGTATACTAAACTTACTTTATATGTTAGTGAATATTGATAACAACATATCATTTGAAGGTCTGCAGCAACAATGAATCAATCTGAAACCAACACTTAGTATTGCGGTTGCAAACAGTCAGGGTTGGCCAGCTCTTTGAGATGCGCGCGGCAAATTGCGCGGTGAAGTTCAATGCGGTTTGGACGACTCTGAGGGTCCGGTATCTTATCCCCGAACACCGGCTGCTTTCAGCGTCGCTTGCCCCTTGTTTACAACTGAAGCTTGACCGGGTGCCGAAACTTCTCCCCAATTCCCACAGCAAGCTGCAAAGGTCACGCGGCGGCTACCCTATCCTTGCACTGAGAATTCAAACCTTCCCTTAGCATTCATTCTTCACAGCAAACGTTGGTAACGTTGCTCATGGTGAGGAATTTCTTTAGTGAATTCCCCTTCAAAAATGTTGTGGCCAAAGAAATATTTGTTTCCAAAAGGAAAATGATGCTTCAACCATGCATTCCGACATTTTAACAAGAAGGGGGCTACGCGTAAGCCAGGCGATCTGTCTGGTAGCGGTATAATTGGCAGGGGCCAGATGTTGCTTCAACCATGAATATTCGTTAAGAAATAAACAACTCAGAGGACGAATTCATTTATAATATGGGACTTCCTCGCTTTCCCTGTGCTACTGCGAAAGGCCTCCTTCTACTATTTTATCACTTTCACGCTATCCAGAGCGACAGGGTAAGTTTTTGATTGCTGGCGAGGTTATCGCGCTTCTCAATCTCGTATCAAACAATCCGTCATGGACGCTCGCAATCTATGAGTGTTTGGACGAGCTGTTCAAATACGCGCCGCACAGTTGTACAACTAGCTGGAGTAAGTTGCTTGCAAGCAAGGTGTGGGTCCCGGTACGTACGGTGCAACCTCTAGCTACGCTTAAAACTCGTTCGCCTTGGGTGTGTACACGTTGGCTAACCCGGTTCTGGTGCCCTTATTACGCCTCTTGGCCGTTTCTCGATCCGACAGTGTTCCCTAGGCTACTTTCGGGAGGCACAGGTTCATAGAAGAGAGAAATCCCAAGAACCATTTCTATCGTGAACTATTCCTTTCAGATTTGTTATCCTGACAAAATGATCTCTGTTTTGACCATTATAACAATCCTCACTTGTTGTATTCCCATATGGTAATGTTTAAGCCGTAGGTTTCATAATTGCCGTGAAAAACAATGGAGAATGAGAGG